TAATCATTTCTGCGTCTCGCCTGGTGGTCGTGTAGCATGGCAACTGTTTGCATCTTTGCGCTGTTAAATCAGCTCCAGATTTGAGCCGAAACCTCTCAGATCTCAGCTCCTCAGTCTGTTCTCACTTGTGAATAAGCCACATTTATCCAAAATAAAACAGAAAGAGTTGTTGCCTTTTGACTGTTAAACTCCAAATTGGAGTCTGTAAACAATCAAACAAAGAATTCAGCAGTATTTTTCAAAGATTGAAGAGTAGCACACTTGCACAGGACTTGAGTTTGCAGACCGTTGGAGCTCACTCTCTTCCACATACTTGTGTTTAGGAGGTTGGCTCTCTCGTGTTTTTTGGAGCTGGGAACGCTGCAGCTGTCGAACAGACGTTTGGTTGAGCGCGGGTTTACTGGAGAGCCTGAGGAGAGGGCAGTGAGGCTTGGATTTCTGTTTTCTTTATGGATCCAGTGACTTAAGATGGGGTCTCGCGAAAGATCGTGCTGAATCTGAGAAGCTGCCGTTCCACAGTCCCAGTTGATGAGCTTAGACCTCAAGTTTTTTTGACAGACATGCGCGCACACACGCTGGCTCATTCGTCATTTGAAAAATTAATCTAGAAAGCAAACAGTCACTCTTTTGTACGCGAGACCCTGTCTCTTGTGGCTGGTATCCAGCTCTGTAACGAGCAGCAGCTGGCTCAGAGGCCTGCACTCAGGAGCTGCATCCCTCACCCTGATGAATGTGTCATTTGTTGCTTGTTTAGCAGTTGCTTTTGTTCTGGGTCTGAAACACACACACACACACACACACACACACACACACACACACACACACACACACACACACACACACAAATAGAGTGAACACACACAATGCTCAGCTACAGTTTGTGTAACCTACTTAAAATGGTGCAAAATCTAGGCCTTCATGACTGCTGGGTTTTGGAAAGAAAGAAAATGGTTCTTGGAAGGCGTCTGGGTATTTGTAGCCAATGAGAGTTCATGCATTCTTGTGTAGTACTTAATAGTAGTTCCTGTTACACCGCAGTCATCAAATGCAGGTTGGATGACATTCCCCCTGCGGTTGTTTTATTGCTTTATCGGCAGGAGTAGGGCAATAATATTGCCATGACTTCACAGTTGATATCCAGTGAAGTGATGTCTGCTGATGACTTAAGTGGAAGCTGTAGGCTATCTTTCAGTATGTGACTGAAGGGAGATGTAATTTTGGTGAACAAAGGCACTTAAGTAGGTCTATTGTTTTATTTCTTGTTGTAGGTTTTTTTGTCTTATCTGAGCAAGTGCTTTATTTCATGGTGGCTGCAGTCAAATTTCGATCTCTTCCCCCCTCCAGCTTTCCTATTCACTGTATCTTCATAATTGGTGTGTCAGCGACCGTGGAATGTAGAAGAAACAGTTTATCATAAACTACGGCACAGAAGCATTTTTCCTCTGTTCCCCAGAGAAAATATTCATGATAGAGCAGCATCTCCAGAATTGGGCTGTAATGCATACTGAATGTTTTTCTTAGTCCCACTGTGAATAGAAGAAATCATCACATGACAAAATATTAGTTGTCATACTTTGCTAACATCAGTGGCTGGGTGGAGGGGAGAGAGAGAGAGAGATAGATAGAGATAGATAGATATAGATATAGATAGATAGATATAGAGATAGATATATAGATATAGAGATAGATATAGATAGATATAGAGAGAGAGATATATAAATAAAATAAAAAAAATAACAGATGCATTTTAAGGTCTCTTAAAGCGTGAAGCCTTTTTTGTCTTATTTTTCCCTTTCATGGCCTCTTTCCCTCTTCCAAGCTAGTGGGTTTCCTGTTCCAGCTGGAGCAAACCCAGAATACCCAAAGAAGGATTTGGTCCAGAAGAAGTAGGAGGACCCATCACTGACATCCGAGCATCAGAAAGTCGCAAGACATAAGCTCTCTGTCGTTAGCGAGAGAGACTGTAAATGTAAATTTGAAACTGTGTGCTTGTGTCAAGTGGAGCACTTGTGATTGTGCACTGGCCTGCAAAGCAGAACAGTAGAAGAGAAAGGAAGCATGTACACCAGTTAGATTAGCTTTCAAGCTGAGGGAAAAAGAAAACAAACCCCCCACACACTGGACACCTGACATGAAACAAGAGGCTAGACAAAATGAGATATAAGGATGAGTGAGAGATCCTCTGATGATAACATGATGGGCTGAAATTTGATCTTTACTGCTTGAAGTTTCAGCCAGGGGAGTTGTGAGCACACAGAGAGACCAGGAATGCGAATTAGGATCGTGTGGTGCCTTCAGTCAAGTCTCTATCTTTTCGATATAAACCCTGAAGTAACCCCAGAGTCATGATAACAAAGGCCTTTTTAAATGAGTACTTAGCCAAGGTTTGTAAACAAAGAATGAAATAAAGACATCACAACTGCTCTAAGTACTCAGAAACAGAAATGATTTTTACATGGCTACATCACATGCTTGCCATGAATTTGGCTCTTGTAATGTCAGTGACTCCTCCAGGACTGAAGAAGTGGGAGTTGATACGGGAGGTCATGGAGCTGGAGAGAAGAGGCTGAAGGGAGTGTGGAAAATGTGCACAGTTACTGAAAACAGTGGCATACTAGAAGTGGGTTAGGGCCTTTCAGTGGCTGTAATGATGGGGAATATTACTTTAAAGCTTGTTAAAGTGTAAAGAATTCCCATAACCGCCCCATACATAAAACTGTGTTTACATGTTCATATTATTTTTTTTATATGGGAGTTCGGTTTTTTCCTTACTCAGGTTTTCATTCTGTCCCAGATTGTAGACTTAATACTACATAATGCTGTATGCAGACATATGTGGGGAGTGTGTGATTGGCTGTTGAGTCTCTTAGATGTGTGTATATATATATATATTTTGTTAGTAGTTAAGAAGCATTCTTAGTCTCCTCTTTTTCATTTAGATCTACCACAGGCCACCACATCACTAAAGAAGTAATAAAACGATACAGACAAATGTAAAGAACAATGGAACGTGATTTTTGTATAATAGATCTCTGGGTGAAATCTTACATGAATCCTATTTCATCCTGTCCTGTCTTAATCCCAGTAACTGTTCACTCCTTAGCATCTCAGTCATAAGATGTTTCATGACACTTAAGTAGTGCCTTTTAAAAAGTAAATACAAAGTAAATATTTGTCTTGTATCACAGATTAAATTCTTTCATTCAGTTTTATTTATACAGTACTGATTAAAACACTCTTCTCAGTGGGCTTTAGGTTGTACAGTAAAGACCTTACAATAAAGTGTAACCATTATCCGAAGTGTGAGTGTTTTAATTTCACCAAGTAACCAGTTTTTCACAGGCTGAAATGTGACGAAGGGCCTCAAGGACAGAGTAAAAGGGAATTATTGTGAGATACTGTTTGAAGGAACCTGCTTATCTTAAACAAACACAGAAGCCAGCGATAAAGGGAACCTGTTGCTCCTTCTGTTTACCAGGATCTGTTCAAACTATCAGTGCCTGCTTGGGAATTCTTGTTAAAGTCATTAGGTTTGCTATTTGGCCTGGAAGTGTGTGGTTACCGTTGGGCCTATGTGGAATAAGATTTCACTGTCTTTTCTACCCACACAATAGCAGTCGGATGAAGAGAGGACTGCTCCAGGCCTGGTGACAGAATCTGATTCATACTGTGGAGAGATGTTATATAACCAAAGCAATCACATTTCACTATGGAGAATAAAAGTTTTGAACTTGTTAGTAAACCTTTCTAAATGCTCTCTTCTTTTAAGCTGTTTTATCTGAAGATAAAATATCTTTATTTTAATGAATTGATGCTCAGGCTGGCAAAGAAGCACATCGGTTTAGGGAGCGAAAGTGCCAGATAGTTGTTCCCATAGTAGGAGGCTTGTTAGATGTTGGGGAAAAAACAGTATGTCAACAACACTGAGACAGACCCTGGTGACTTTCTTTCCTGTCCTAGTAACCCTGAGAAGCATGGGAACTGTAAATAAAAGTATGCAAAAATGCTCCTACTGCCCTCAAGGCTGCAGACTACACAGACCATGAACAGATTGTTTAAGCATGAAGGAAAGTTCACTTTATGCCCATTAGCAGAGGCCATTATGGAGCCATTTTTCCACATCTCAGAGAGGATTTCCCATTAAAGATCATTCATTAAGTGATTGTGATTATTTTCCCCCCAGTAGGATTTCTAAAGGTCAATGTGGGAGCATGTTGCATGATAAGTAAGGCATTGGAGAAATGTTTTACAGACCATTGATGTGTTACAGTCATGCAAATAACGTGTCCCTTGCTCGCTTCCATTTTACAGCAGATATGCTTTAGCTGATTAGTCTCTGCAATTAATGAATGGGCTGAATCACCAATGTAGTGGATTCCAGTGTTGAAATAAATTACGTTTTCTCTCAGGGTGTGAGATTTGTTTCTTAAATGGTTATCTGCATTGTTACTTCAAGGCTTTCTAGCTTGTTTTTTTTATTATTATTATTACGCTGTATTCATTGTTTCAGCCATGTTTATACTTAAATTATTATACATTTTTCCCTAATGCTGGCACTCTCTATCTAAGCTGAAATAGCTGTTTTAGCCAATACACTAAAGCCACTAATTGACATGATTTTGTTTTTGTTGGTATGGGCTAAGCTGAGAGTGGACACTCACTGATTGTCTCAGTTTCCAGCAGTTAGAGGGGTTATGCTCTCAATTCCTCTGAAAGGATTTTCTTTAACAACCTGGCTTTACTATTAATTATCTTAAGAACCTTGGGAAATAAGATTGACTTAACCTAATTATCCAAAGGTACATGATCAGTGACTAAGTACAGGGCAGGATCTCAAGGTCAGACATGACCAGTGTGGGGAGAGTAACTCTACTCATCATTAGCAAATAATGCAGCAAAGGTCATTCTTGAATTAATCTTTTGGATCTTTTAATATACTGAGTAAGTTATTAGTTCAATTTTCCATCAGTCTCATCTTATGTCCTTCCCTTCTGTTTCAGGATTCCGCAAAATCAGCCTTGATGATCTGCGTAAGGCCTACATCGTCAAGGACGTGCAACAGTACATCCTTCACAGGCTGGATCAGGAGGAGGCCCTGAGGCAGCATCTAACAAAGGAGACAGCTGAGATGCTTAACCAACTTCACATCAAGAGCAGTGGTTGTTTCCTTTACCTGGAACGTGTCCTGGATGGTGTGGTGGAAAACTTTATCATGCTTCGTGAGATCCGCGACATCCCGGGCACTCTTAATGGCCTCTACCTGTGGCTCTGCCAGAGACTGTTTGTCAGAAAACAGTTTGCCAAAGTACAACCAATTCTTAATGTAATCCTTGCAACTTGTAGGCCACTCACAGTCAAAGAACTGTACCATGCAGTCTGGACCAAAAACATGACACTGACCATGGAAGAGTTTCAGAAAAAGATGGACATTCTCTCCAAATTATTGGTCGATGGCCTTGGGAGCACTAAAATCCTCTTTCACTACAGTTTTGCAGAGTGGCTACTAGATGTTAAGCACTGCACCCAAAAGTACTTGTGCAATGCAGCAGAGGGACATAGGATGTTGGCAATGAGTTATACTTGCCGGGCAAAGCAGCTCAAGCCGCTTGAGGTGCAGGAATTTGCATTGCATCTTGTGAACTCCAATCTACAAATTGAAGCATTTAATCTGGCTCTTTGGATGGTTTGGAATGGAACTCCTGCTAAAGACTCTTTGAGCACCTCCATACCAAGGGAACAGGAGGTTCTGCAGCTACTGGTCAAAGCTGGTGCACACGTAAACAATGAGGATGATCATGCTTCATGTATTGTACAACAGGCCCTAGAAAGAGAGGATTCGATAAGGACACTACTTGACAATGGGGCATCTGTAAACCAGTGTGACTCCGGTGGAAAAACTCTGCTGAGTAATGCTGCATACAGTGGAAACCTTGATGTTGTCAACTTGCTTATATCTAGAGGGGCAAACATGGAGCTAGAAGATAACAATGGACAGACGGCACTTACCCTTGCTGCAAGGCAGGGCCATACTAAAGTGGTCAACTGCCTTATTGGCTGTGAGGCCAACATAAACCATACAGATCACGATGGGTGGACTGCTCTCCGTTCAGCAGCATGGGGTGGACATTCAGAAGTTGTGTCTGCTCTGCTTTATGCTGGTGCCAAAGTGGACTGTGCTGATGCCGATGGCAGAACTGCTTTAAGAGCTGCTGCTTGGGGAGGTCATGAAGACATTGTGTTGAACCTTCTTCAACATGGCGCTGAGGTCAACAAAGCAGACAATGAAGGAAGAACGGCTCTTATTGCTGCAGCCTATATGGGACACAGAGAAATTGTCGAGCACCTGTTGGACCATGGAGCCGAAGTTAATCATGAAGACGTTGATGGAAGGACTGCCCTTTCAGTCGCTGCTCTCTGTGTTCCTGCAAGTAAAGGCCATGCATCTGTTGTGAGCCTTTTGATCGACAGGGGTGCAGAGGTCGACCACTGTGACAAAGACTGCATGACTCCTCTCCTCGTGGCTGGCTATGAAGGACATGTAGATGTAGTTGACTTGCTTTTAGAAGGCGGGGCTGATGTGGATCATACAGACAACAATGGTCGCACCCCTCTTCTGGCTGCTGCATCAATGGGCCATGCATCTGTAGTCAACACACTACTTTTTTGGGGGGCTGCTGTTGATAGTATTGACAGTGAGGGAAGGACTGTGCTGAGCATTGCATCTGCTCAGGGTAATGTGGAGGTGGTCAGAACTCTGCTGGACAGAGGTCTTGATGAGAATCACAGGGATGATGCAGGCTGGACCCCGCTTCACATGGCTTCATTTGAGGGCCACCGGCAAGTTTGCGATGCCCTTATTGAACAAGGTGCTCGTTGCACAGAGGTAGATAATGATGGTCGAATACCGCTGATATTAGCTGCACAAGAGGGACATTATGACTGTGTGCAAATTCTTCTGGAACACAAGTCATGCAGTGACCAGAGGGGATATGATGGGAGGAATGCTCTCAGGGTAGCTGCATTAGAAGGTCACAGGGAGATTGTTGAACTGCTGCTGAGCCACGGTGCTGATATAGATTACAAAGATGCAGACGGACGCCCGACGCTTTACATACTAGCACTTGAAAATCAGCTGGCCATGACAGAATATTTCCTTGAAAATGGCGCAAATGTGGAAGCTTGTGACACTGAGGGCAGAACGGCCCTGCATGTATCCTGCTGGCAAGGGCATATTGAAATGGTGAGGCTGCTGATTAACTACCATGCTGATGTGAATGCCTGTGACAATGAAAAAAGATCTGCCCTCCAGTCTGCTGCATGGCAAGGCCATACAAAAGTCGTGCAGTTTTTGATAGAGAATGGCACACATGTAGATCACACATGCAATCAGGGAGCAACGGCACTAGGCATAGCTGCCCAGGAGGGTCACATCGATGTTGTACAAATACTTCTTGAAAACGGTGCTGACCCCAACCACGCTGATCAGTTTGGAAGAACGGCAATGAGAGTAGCAGCAAAAGGTGGCCATTCAATGATTATAAAACTTCTAGAAAAATATGGAGCTACAACTCTAAATGGCTGCAACCCCTCCCCAGTGCATACCATGGAAGAAAAAACACCATTGGCAGTGACTGGTAAAATGCAGTCCCTCACCATCAAATCAAGTAGTTCTGGCAGCACTGGGGCAGGAGACGTGCAGTCATCTGGACGAGGTCTACAGAACGGGCCTGTTCATGCCTTCAGTTCACCGTCAGAGTCTCCTGATTCCACTGTAGATAGACAGAAATCCTCCCTGTCAAATAATTCTCTCAAGAGTTCAAAAAACTCCTCTTTGAGAACCACATCATCTACAGCCACAGCACAGACAGTGCCCATTGACAGTTTTCACGGACTGACATTTACAGAACAGATTCAGCAGCACTCACTGCCCCGCAGCCGGAGCAGACAGTCTATTGTATCTCCGTCCTCTACGACAAAGTCCATTAGTCAGCAGCCATCATCCCCATCCAGTGACTTTGACTGGTCTCAGCTGAAATCCGGTCTTAAATCAACAAAGGGAACTAAAACTGGAAATAGCACAGCAAACAGCAAAACAACACTGGGAGACAAGAAGAAAATCAAGAACAGTGGCTCAACCCAAGGTCAGGTTCTGGAGTATGAGATGACCCAGTTTGACAAGAGAATTGCCATTAATAAATCGGTAGCTAACATTGCAGTGAAAGATCCTCATTGTAAGATCATGATTGGTGGTTCAGTTCAGCAGGAAAGGGGACAGTGCCAGGATCAGTTTTTCATACAACAGCAAAGCTGTTCTGAGAAGAAGAGGAATGGGATAATGACAAACCCCAACTATCATCTACAGGGTAATCAGGTTTTCTTGGGTAGGGTATCAGTTCCACGGACTGTTCAAAACAGGGGCCACCAGGATGTTCTAGAGAACTATCCCATAGGGGAAACGGAGCTAAGCCTTAAACAAGCCCTGAAACTGCAGATTGAAGGATCAGACCATGGGTTTAACTACAAAAAGGAGACTCCATTATAGCCGGTAAGAGAGATTTTGTTTTTGTTTTGTTTTTTTAATATTCCAGCATGTGATTTTAATGTAATACAGCAACCATGTGTTTATATGTTGAAATCAAGAAAAGGCGAGGGCACATAGCAAACAACACATGCTTTTGGCTTGTCTAAGGACTAATAAAGGAGCAAAAAATGGGCACATAGATGATACCGGAATGCACTGAATAGAACCACCATTAGCTGGATTTAATCAGACTTGCATGAAGAAAACCTCCCAAGCAAAACATTAACCCAAATCATTCCTGTGCCATTTCAGATGTCTTGAATGCCATTCGTCATGCAGACGGCGGAGGGAATGTGCCAAAGCAACTGTTTTCATCTGCATTTTAAAAAAAAACAAAAAAAAAACAAAACATTTTTTTTTTTTAACTTTTCATCAGTGGGAGACCTCAAAATGTTATCTAGGGAAGATTGTTTTCTGCCTAAGGCTTATGTGAACTGATACTTCAATGTGCCTACATCTGTTACAGCCTTCTCCATGTATCCATGCAAACTATCATCTTAATTTAATGTAATGCTATTTAATAAACAGTGTATGCACTTTTAAGAGTAAAATGACAGACATGCATTTGTTCTAGTCACTCGTATCCCATCCATGTTTTATCTAAGTAACTGTTTGAGAAAACGTACCAATGCTTTTTCCTGTTATTTTATATTAATGTTTGTTCTACTTTTTAAACACTGACAACAATGTACTGCGAGTACAATGTAACAAACCAGACAACATAACAGTAACTGATGCCATGGTATGAAGTAAGCGCATTGATAGTCTGCCTTTCTAGAGACCCCAAATAATCTGTGTTAACTTTGAGCAGCGTGTTAAACTTACTTTGTGTGTGATGTGTCAATAGCTATTTTCATCACACGTATATAAAAGTGTATTTATTTTTGGGGGAAAAAAAGCCACTTTTTGGTTTTGCATTACATTCTATCATGGTGCTGTGTTTTCAGACGTTGCCTGCAGTCATTTTGAACTCCCAATTTGTTGGCTATGTAAGTTTGTGCATTATTAAAATATCTAAGAAAGAGGGAGGTTCATCGAAAATGTAAACAAAAAATAATAATTTTGTCCCTATGGGATTTTTTTTTTCTTTTTTTTTTTTTGGTTGTTGTTGTTGTGAGTCCTGTTTTGTGTGCATTAAAAAATATTTAAATAATCCATTTTGGTGCTAAAAGCAGCAATGTCAAGTGATTTAAAAATACATTTGTCAGCACAGTTACATGTATAACCTACTGCATCGCAAGAAACAAAATCCAAGCTTTGTTTCCGTATCGTCATGTGGTTCATTTTCAGTTAATTCCTGGCTGGATTTTTCAGGGGCATGACACACAGACTCAGAAAGGCTTCAGCCATTAAGACAACTACTAGCTGTTAGTGACATTGTCTGTAATGCAAAGTTGTAAAGCCAAAGTTGAATGGGTATATTCTAACCCGCCTCCTCCCTGTGAGACACTGAGGATCAGTTGGACACGACTTACCCCTGTGGGAGACTGAGGGGAGGAGGTGCTCAGCTGTGACACTGAGGGAACTGAAACATCTGTTTCTTATGAATTCTATGGAGCTGCGTTAGTGTTTACAGGCTGTGTCATATTTTTTTGCAGGCTTTTCATAATGTTAACGGTGAGATATATTGCCAAGAACGGGGATCGAGGAGTAGAAGCCTATCGCATGCACGAACACTTATAAGCCCTAGTGAAAGCGCTCAGCTCTTCAGTACTACAGTAGCTCAAATGTATGCCATGAAGGGACGGTAGAAGGATTCTAAGCAGGACCGGGTTTAGAAACAGTGTTGGAAAAACATACTGTATAGTCTTATTAAGCGGTTATCTTGTTTGTCTTGACTGTGTTTTGTCTGCCATCTTTGATTTGACTGTCAGTGATTGGATTGTAAATAGCTTCCAATGTACATTCAACTTTCATTTAAAAAGAATTCCTGTATTCTATGAAGTGGAATTTTCTGATGTATATTAAAGTGCTTAATAAACATATTTGCTTTACTGCTGAAACAGACATTTTTGCTTATTTCATTTCGCATCCTTTTATAGTAACAGTGCCAGATAGTTGAGGCCAGTATGCTGACAGAAATGATTGTGTTGGCCGTTAATGGTCCAAAACAAGATGGATAATAAAAAAGCCACCAAAGGAAAGAGATTTGATTTATGGGGATGTACCAAAACCTGAAAAATCTGCACCATGCGTATATTTTTGTACTTGTATTCTTTTGACAGCTTTTTCCTCTCTCCCTTTCTCTCTCTCTCTTGTCTTGGAGCTGTGAAACTACAGCATGTGCTGTTAATACCTACTTCACTGTTGGTCATTTGATATAGAGGGCCAAACCAGGACACTGCAGGCATCGCAACACATGGATCACGCTGAAGTGGAGCAGACAAGTGTGCCAAGTGCTATCGCGGCCTCCCCCTTTCCTGCATTTCACTCCGTTCATTTGAGTTAAAAGCAAACTGAAAGAGAGCTCTAACAGAAGTAGCTGAAAGATTTGATTTAATAGCGTTTTTATTTAATCTTACGCAGTTTCACAATAAAGAAACTGGGTGCTTTTACTGGATTTTGGCTGTGATTATGAATTATCTCCTATTCAAATTCCAAATCGATGCAAAGTATACAGTTAAAACATTCAGCTGTTTCAAAAAGATTCAACTTTGAACCAAAGAGTTAAATCTGAACAAAGTGGTTCTATTGAATAATTAGGTTTAACTGCCACCACCCAAAATGTCATGAAAAAATGCACCAAATAGCCGTTCAAGTGCCATTTAGACTTTTGGACCTTCAGCACAGGCTTCTCTGTATGTTTTGAGAGTGTGGGTGTTAATGAATGAACCATCTGGTACTGATGTCATGCAGTGTGCACTGTCCAAGCTTGGAGGATCTCCTCATGAACCGTCTGCCAGTGGCCACATCTGGTTGCTCTCCACCCATGCCCTTGTTTTGGATACAGCGCTAACAAGTTCCCTCACAATATACACAACATGGAGACAGTTGTGGCTGGCTTGTTCCAGAGGTATTTTAAACCCAATGGCCTTCAACTAGTGCATGCCTTTGAGAGCCACGTGTGTGCTGAATTCACATTTAAGTAAATGTGATCTCTGTTTAGCACTTTAGCTACAAACTTTCTTGTTTGGCTTCACAGAAACCTGCGTGTACTTCAATCTAAGCTGGCTCAAGGTGACTGTCGAATCACAAAATGCTGTTAATTCTCGTGTCCTTGTGGGGAACATATTTCCCAGCTTGTCTTGAGATCAGCAATCCTCACAAGAATGCAAACACTGAAAAGATTTCTTTTTGGCAGGTGTGTGTGTGTGTGTGCGGCTGGTGTCTTACTTCCAAGTTTCTTTGTGATCACATATGTTGAGCTTTAATCTGTGTATTTTCCAACTTCTGCATACAATTTTCAAAAATATACACTTTGAAGAGGGTTTTCAAGATAAAGCCTTTTCAGTTGATCGAAGCTTAGTGAGACAAAACAAATAAAGGCTGCATTTTCAGATGTATTCTCGATTATGAGACTTTAGCCAGAGCAAAGCTTTGTTGGAAAAGAAAATACTGTATGCATTCAACAAATCCTCTTTTTGTGCAGAGATGAATGAATATGTGCCAGATTTTGCTTCGTGGATTACATTACTAATTAAATGCTAAATTACAATTTGTAAACATCACCAAACAGTCATTCTTACTAATCAATTACCTTGAGTAAACACATCGAAGAATTTGCGTTGACTCTTGGACAGAATGTGTAAGTTCAAATCTATAGCTGAACAATTTAAATCAGACTTCAAGCACGTCTCTACATCATGTCAGACCAGTTTTATTCTCCAAATGTTAACTGTTGTTCTGGGAAACTGGCATCTGTACAAGTATAAATAGTCCGCATCTTGGGATGAGTGCCAGAAATGATTTGGTGAAGAAGCAGCCAAGTGGCAGACTTGTGGAGAAATTTTACAATGGGGTATTTAAATATGTCCGTCCAGTTTTATAATGACACGAGTGCAGCCATGCAGAGCCATTCATCTCAGTGGCGTTCAAATTAGATTGACTGGAACTACTAGCCTGCGAGCTTTGTTAAAACTGTGACCTGAAATAAAGGTGAATTTCTCCAAACTAACAGCGAAGAGGAAATGGCTGCAATTTGGTTGGAGAGAGAGACTTTAAATCCATTAACTGCTACATTTATGTGTTATGTTGTTCTGAAGAAGTTTGTGTAGATCTTGTTTTTTACATATAGTATGTTTAATTTTTAGATTATCTGGGAAATATTTTTATTAATTATTAATTAATAATTAACTGATTAATAATAATAATAATTATTATTATTTATTTTTACAAAATCCTGCTTTAAAGCGATTTTTTGTTTGTTTGTTTAAAAAACTATTTGCCCTGAAAGTGACACTATACAAAGAAAAAATGTGTTATAATTGACTCATCAATAAAATCTTACACTCAGTGTTCTATTGTTAACTAATTTTTTTTTTAAGCTGCATACACACAGGAAGTAATTTGCTCTATGAATTGCTTTGAAGTTGACCTCTGATCGCTAGATAACCCCTAATAGATTTACTTTCCTGTCATATGTTAGTCACCGGTATCACTCGTTATCCTGCGCTCTCATTGGTTATCACTTCAATCGCTTGCCTCAAAAGTGAGTTCATCTCAGGACCTGCCCACTTCCTGTCACCAACTATTTTATTGCAGGTTTTGTGCCAAAACGTGATTGCAGATGTTTCTATCTGAATTTTGTTTTAATATTATGTGTAATATTCTTACTTATATTGGCAAACAGGCTGCAATCAACAGGATTTGCTAATAAAATAAACAAATGACCAATTTTGCAAGAAACGTCATGACTGCATTATTGTACCTACATTATAATCATGTGACATAGTAACAGTGCATGAAATTTAATTTACAAAAAAAAGTTTCCTTTCGGTCAGTTGCAGACCAAAGAATAGCAACACACAGATGGGCAGTAGATAATGAAACCCTTGTGCAAACATGAGCGTTAGTTTATATGTGTCATTTCAGTCACAAAGGAAGCTGAGTTAGACAGATCAAATGGGTATCTTTTTTTGGGGGGGGGGAGGGAAACATTAGCTCTAATCCCAGAATTTATCACATGAACAAACCTACATGTTATTGCCAGCAGTGGCTATGGAAACAAATATAGAGAATGTCATGATAAATAGACCATAACTTTGGAAAGCAGATTCTTCTTGATTTAATATTTGAACTCAAACAAGCTTAATACTTCTTTGTGGGTCAGAGCCAGTCTGCAGAGGTGAAATTATCCCAATACTCAACTTGTATACATTGCATA